AACTTAGGCCCAACGCACAATCTTAGGAGTCGACCTCGGCCCCAAGAGACTTGACCCTCAACCTTTCGTGGTGACCCTATAGGGTCCAAAGGACCCAATAGTCAGGTACTTGGTATGTTAGTATCCGTGGGAGCATATGATGTGTACATGCCTCGGCCCTTACTGTAACTCCTGCACACTCAATCTGAATCCCCAATCCCTTACCGATCAGTGAGCGTGCTCTATGTCCTCGTGCGGTTCTTCACTCTTACTTATGTCGAGCCCGACAAAGCCCCAGATAGAAATACACCCAAGGAGAAGAACGATACGGTACCGACACCTGCACCCCTGAAAACCTGGAACACGGAGGCTAAACAAGTTAAGCAAAGCTTCCAGGGTCAATGAGACGTAAACGGTTGCCAGAACCCGAAATGCCATCCAAAGCAATATCGAAAGAAAACACATGAGGAGGAACGGCAGCGGACTGGTAGCGGAGCTCAAAATCCCGGCCCTAAACCAAAAACCTGAAAACCCCAAACAGCAATAAACATCAAGAAGTACCCGTGCCTGCGGCGGAGCAGCCACAGACATACATGTGACATATACTTCTGACAGTTTTGGGGGGTATATAAGGTTCTACTCTTATATATATATATATGTATGTGTAGATGTATATATATATATATACACCGCCGCGGGCACCACCGACACGCACGACCAGCACCACCCACAACAGCGACGTGCAGAGCTCGGGAATGATTTCGCCATGTTGGCGGAATCGTCCTTGTAGGGAAACCACCTCAAACCTAAACCCTAAACCCTAAACCCTAAACCCTTCACGGAATCGTGACAAAGGGATCCCGTAGACGATCCCTTGTACAAGCATCCCATATAGAAAGTCTTACAGGAACTCTTATCCCACCCTTTTACCCTTGCAGGATCCCTCGAAGGACCGTTTTAAAATCCCTTAATGGAACCCCTTAAAAGGACCCTTCTTAGGATCCTTTAACTTGGCCCCTGACATCAACTGAACCTAAAACATACCCGGAAGAGGAACCCTTGAAAGGATCCATTGAAGGACCTAAGCCTTCAACCCCCAAAGTGCCCTTTAAAAGGAACCCTTTTTCAGGACGCCCCTTGCAGCAACTCTGCCTCGCCGGTATCACCGGCAGCTTCGCCCGCTTCCTCGCCTTTCTCTTTCTCAGAGGTCGCGGACCTGAGAACAAAGGTTTACTGTGTTGAAGAATTACCCTGAAGGGTTCGCTTTAAGGGGTTGCCTTTAAAGGCTTCCTTTTCAAGGATTCCTTGTTAGGTGTACTTTACAGGTTGGGGTTTAGGGCTTCGCGTTTAGTTGCCTTAAGGAGCCCTTTAAAGGGGGTCCTCTTAAGAGTTCCTTTGAACGGAAGGGGTACTGTAGGGGTTTAGGGTTGAGGGTCGAGGGTTTAGGGTTGCTTTAAGGGCTTCTGTAAACGATGCTATAAGTGATCTATTTGGGATCCTTGTAATGGGACCGTTTTGGGGTCCTATAAGGGCCTCAAAGCAAAACTTTAGGGTTTGCCTGGACCCTATGAAGCTTACCTTTTCAGGATTACAATTCCCTTCTACAAGCCCCTCACAGGCTGGGTTGTTTTTAAGGTAAGGCTTTGAACGCTTACATATGGTTTGGAGCATAGGGTGTAGACCTCTTCTAGAGGCCCAAAAGAAGAGCATAAGCCAAACCCGCTGATAGGGAGAGCCCATATAAATCTCTGTATGATGAAGGATTTTCCTTTTTGAATGCTTCTGATTACCCATGTCCTTTCTGGGGCCCCTCTGAAAGCCCTTACATGTGCTTACGGCCCGCGAAACCAACGGCGGAGCTCTGGTTCGCACAAGCTTGAGACACCATACCGGAAAAGGGTGTAACTTGGAGGCCCAGGGGACTTAGTAAGTAGGTCATAAGTAGAGGTATATTTGGGGTAACTCCATTTAGGGTACTTATAACTCTACTTATAACCTACTTACTAAGTCCCCTGGGCCTCCAAGAAGGGCTGAGGCATTGAGAAACTGAGGATTCCAACGACTCCAATTTCGGGGTGCTTCCACCGGAGAGGTTCAGAGGTTGAGGACTCTAGGGTTCAAAGGGGTGGTGCATCTGGGAATTTGAGGTGAGTGGGGGGGCCATAACGTTTCGGGCTTCCTTATTACACTTAACAATTGTGCTTGGGGAGTTTCGTCCTGGGTTTCGGAAGCTCCTTTGCATGCCTAAGCCTTAGGCTAGCAACTCAAAGCTTTAAACTCGGAGCCTGAGCATTTCCTGGAACAAGCAGTGCAAGCGTGCATTACACGCGTGTGCAAGTCAAGTACTGCATTAATTGGCCTGACATCATATATGCTTTTCAAGCATACTGTACAGGGCTCTGGTTACTGGGGTACGGGGTACGTAATGTGTAGTTACTAACCTACTAGGTCATAAAGTAACTGGAGCCCTGGGGATAGGTAGCTTTAGCTAAACTTAGCACCTGCGTATCATCGCCCGATTGGCGAACCCCCCGCACTCATGTTCCTGAACGACGTGCTGTAATCCTTGAGTACGAGTAGACCCTGAACCCTAAACATTACGAGTCCCTAAACCCTAAACACGAGAGCGTTGCATCTCAGAAGAGAATCTGCTTAGCCATAGCCGTGAGCCACATCTCCAACCGCTGTTCAAGCTGTGAAGAAGGGACCAGCAGTTTAGATAATTAGAATTAGAATAGGGCTTGGGTGTATATTGTACTACAATTATAGTAAGGAACTCCCAAAGTAGTATTGGTAATTATTTAGGCCCCTGAGTTAAGTGATATAGGAGGTGCAGACCGTAAACCCTGTCGAACTTCACGCCCTGCTTACATGCAAACCTTACAACCCCCAAAACCTACATGTTGTAGGATTTGTATGCGGGAGTCATAACAAGCTATATTAAGCTAATAAGAAGACACCCTAAAAAGGGTAGGCCGTTTGACGTCCAGGAACCCTGTACCACACTTTTTTTCAGACACCCTGAGCCCAAGACGCCTTAAACTCTAGACTCACGGCCCCACAACTCCTCAAACTCGACTCGCAAAGCCCAGCACCCTTTAAACCCTGCTGCGGCCCCCTGCCATTCAATCTTGCAAGTCCTGAGCTCCAACATCTGTAGGTAAAGAGGGCTTATAGGGCTCAGGACTTAATGCTCTTGTACAAACAAACAGAAGCTAACACGATGATTCTATGATCTATGTTAAGATCTTATGGTTGACTTTGCTTTTTTTCTTCGTTGGCTGTGTCTGAAGGGATCTGCAGGGGCTCCTTTCGACCAGGCGCTACTCAGGTTTTAGAGTTTACTGAAGAAGGCTAACAAAATACCCATATAAGTTCTTAGGGTTCCTTAATATGATTATGAGTATACCATAAAGGAGCCCCCAAACCCTATTCTTGTAATATCTAATCGGCAAAACTGAAAGGGGGCTTTTACAAAAGGGGGCTTTTTCGGGATTCAGGTTGGTCGACAACTAGGGTTGGTGAAATCGGACGTCTACCGGCAGAAGGTCAGGACGATCGAGGTGGCTTCGCAAGGGGGACGTTTTGCAAA